CCGAGGTGGCCACAAGATCATGGTGGTTGCAAATAAAATATGCCACAATAGAAATGGGAGCGAGCAGAGAGCTTGCACACACACACTTCTAATGTAAAAGCAAGTGGGAGCAACGTCTGGGCAATAAGCGTGAGCTCGCGGGGCATTGGCACATAAAGTGTCTGGGATCTGCGGGATCGAGGCCATGGTTGCGGACCACCGTTGGTGCAGTCAGGATCGCTTTGGCAAGCCTCAGGACGGTGCTCCGAATGACCACACCACGACACGCGCTCACGTTGCTCATTCTGCGCGCAGCAGAGCAAAAGTGCCTCGACGCCCTCGGGGACGAACAAGGAGCCAAGGCGCGCCACCTGCGGAGTCGGTGCAGAATGCTGTATGGATCGCTGCCAGGATGTACAGGCCATGTCAACAACTTTCCTGTGGCTGTGAGTGTATGAGCGCCCATGACTGCAAAGATCACATACCCCCTACATCCAATGCTGACAAAAGCCCACGCCACATTGATGTATTCTTTCGTTTTCTGCCTTCCCTGCACCGCGTGAGAAAGAAGCTCCTGCAGCGAACAACATTAAAGCAAACCATGACTTTGCGGTGAGAGCACGCGAAATTCAGCACGTCAGGGATCAACGACGCTGGGGAATTCCACCGAACCCGACACGGAAAGCACGACCCAATTGTTTTGATGCGCTTCGGGGCGGGATGGAGGGCGGATAGGATTGGTTGGGACGACGGAAGCGTTCTCATTGGTCCTATACAGTCCTCTTCTCCAGGACTGGCGGTTTAGCTTCTGGAGCTGTCGCAACAAGGTCGTTTCCAAGCGCCCCCGTTGGGGTTCGTGGCCCCCTGTTGCAAAGAATGGGCATTCGAAACTGCCGCACAAACCAATCAGCGTCTCCACCCACTCCTCCTGCCACTCCTTCAGCAGAACGGTGGTTATGAACTTTGACCTCTGTTTCACGGTAAGCGGTCGGCACTGCAGAACAAAACTACGTGACATCACGCGATGGCGGTACACTTATTGAGCCAAGTGTCACGGGCTGCACAATTACCTCGTGGGGCTACATTGAAATTCACACCCTCGACCTGATGACCCAGGCCGGGTAAATTAGACGCAGCCTCAACCTTAAATCAACTCACGTGCCACGAGCGGAAACTGGAGCAGACGCAAAATCACGGCGGCTGTAACGTGATGAGTGATACAGATGTGACTAAACTCGGACATCAATCTAGAGAATATGCAAAATGCAGCCAAGTAACAAAACGGTAAACTGTGCAAAGGATGCGCAGAGCAAATGCACCAGGGCAGCGTGCAAGGTGAATTAGGCTCTGGCGGGATCATCACTCTCTCTTTCTCTCTCTCTCTCATTATTTCTCTTGTTATTTCTCTCTCTCTCTCTCTCTGTCTCTCCCTCTCTCTCTCTCTCTCTTTCTCGCGCTTGATGTGTCACAGTCCCCAAGCGCATTCAAGTGAATTGAAGACTGCAATGGCTACGTGCGCAACAAACCTTGGACTGGCAGATGGGGTAGGGAATAATACGACGGGGTGCGCTTCTAGGATGGATATTTCTGCAACAGGCTCAAACTGATGATTCTTATCGAAATTTCAAAAAAAAAAAAAAGGCCGCCTAACGTTCACGAGAGGAGTTCGAACGACAAAGCTCCAATCAATACCAAAAACAGCAGCGCCGATTCTTCCCCTGCCGCCTCGCCCTTGCGGCGCCTGTTCCCCGGCCCCACGGGGCCGAAGACTCAGACAAAACGCGCTGCGACTGACACAAAACACGGGCGTCGGTGATCTAGGCATCGGCCGCCAACCTGCCGCAGACGGGCTATGCTTGAGGGCCGCAGGGGCCGCCGACGCGCCGCCGACGGATGGGCTCCTCCGAAGGTCGGGCCGCCGACGGGCGCCACAAGGGTCCACCCTTGCGCTGCCGTGGAGAGACTGGCCGGCTTGGCACCAAACTCGCGCTCAGCGTCACTGCCCTCTTCTGCGGGTCAGCCGTGACGAGCGCGAGGCCGTCGCCAAATCGGCGCCGGGGGGCCCCCGGGAAGGGGCATCACTGGGACGAGGCGGCGGAGAAAGCATAATCGAGGCTGCTGTTTGTCCCAACACGCCTGCTTTGGGTGCTCGTTGTGAATACAGCATTGCGGTCTCCACCTTCTCCCGCCCGCCTTTCTTCTCCTCTCATCACTCCTACCTACCTTCTACCCTGTCTCCTACCTCGCCATCGCTGGGGGGCTACGATCTGCGAAACTGTCGCCATTTTCGAGGGCTGCTGGGGGGTCCAGCGGAGTGGGGTCCCACGCGGACTCAAATTAGACCACGCCATCCCTGGGGGGCTACGATCTGTGAAACGATCGCCACTTTCGAGGGCAGCTGGGGGATCCAGCGGAGTGAAGTCGCACGCGAGCTCAAATTAGACCTCGCCATCCCTGGGGGGGCTGCGACCTGCGAAACTATCGCCAATTTCGAGGGCTGATGGTGGGTCCAGCCAAGCGACGTCACACGCGGAGTCGAATTATACTTATCCGTCCCTGGGGGGCTGCGATCTGCAAAACGGTCACCACTTTCGAAAGCCGCTGGGGGTTTCAGCGGAGTGAGGCACCACCCGGACTCAAATTGGACCTAGCCATCACTGGGGGGCTGCGATGTGCGAAATTGTCACAACTTTCGAGGCTCGCAGGGGGGGGTCCAGCGGAGTGAAGTCTCAGGCGAGCTCAAATTAGACCTCGCCATCCTTGAGGGGCTGCGATCTGCGAAACCGTCGCCACGTTCGAGGGCTGTTGGGGGGTCCAGAGGAGCTAGGTCCCACGCAGATTCAAACTCGAATTCGCAATTCCTGGGGGGCAGCGATCTGCGAAACTGTCGCCGCGTTCAAGTCTGCTGGGGGGGGGCCAGCGAAGCGACGTCCCACGCAGACTCAAAGTACACCTCGACATCTCTTGGGGGGCCTGCGATCTGCGAAACTGTCGCCACGTTCGAGGGCTGCTGGGGGAGCGGCCAGCGAAGCGACGTCACACGCGGACTCAAAGTATACTTCGCCGTCCCTGGGGAGCTGCGATCTGCGAAACAGTCGCCATTTTCGAGAGCTGCTGGGGGGTCCAGCGGAGTGGGGTCCCACGCGGACTCAAATTAGACCTCGCCGTCCGTAGGGGGCTGCGATCTGTGAAACTATCGCCACGTTCGGGGACTGCTGGGGGATCCAGCGGAGTGACGTCTTTTCAAACGTCAAACTAGCCGTCGCCATCCCTGATTGGCTGCGATCTGCGAAACTGTCGCCATTTTCGAGGGCTGCTGGAGGGTCCAGCGGCGCGACGTGTTATCTAAGTTAAAATGTGATGTCGCTACCCCTGGGGGGCTGCGATCTGCGAAACTGTCGCCACTCCCGAGGGCTGCTGCGTGGTCCAGCGGAGTAAAGTCGTACCCTGACGCAAACTAGACATCGCCACACCGAGGGGGCTGCGATCTGCGAAACTGTCGCCACTTTCGAGGGCGGTTGGGGGGTCCAGCGGGGCGACGTCTTACCCAAGGTCTAAAGGAAACCTCGCCAATCCTGGGGGCTGCGATCTACGAACCTGTTGCCACTCTCGAAGGCTGCAGGGGTGCCCAGTGGAATGACGCCCTACTCAGATTCAAACGAGACCTCGCCATCCCTGGTGGGCCGCCATATGCGAAACTGTCGCAACTCCCGAAGGCTGCAAGGAATCCAGCGGAGCGACGTCTTACCCAGATCCAGATGAGACGTCGCCATCCCTGGGCGGCAGCGATCTGCAAAACGGTCGCCACTTCCGAAGGCTGCAGGGGTGTCCAACGGAATGACGTCCTACTCCTATTCAAGCTAGACCTCGCGATTTCTGGGGGGGCCGCCATCTGCGAAACGGTCGCAACTTTCGAAGGCTGCAGGGTGTCCAGCGGAGTGACGTCTTACCCACATTCCAATTCGACCCCGCCATCCCTGGGGGGCTGCCATCTGCGCCGCGTTCGAGGTCTGCTGGGGGGGGGGGGTCAGCGGAGCGACGTCTTGCACAGATTCAGATGCGACCTCGCCCTCCCCGGGTGGTTGCGATCTGCGAAAAGGTCGCAACTTTCAAAGGTCGCTGGAGGTCCAGCATAGTGACGCACTGCGCAGAGTTGGGAACCAAATGAAAGGCCCTATTTTGTCGTCTCGGTCCGATTTCAGCCAAGGCCCAACCGCTATGAAAATCAATGGTTTTCAGCGCCGTATGCGCTGAAAAATAATAGGTCTTTGCGCGACCGCAGCCTTTCTGAACGCATTTGAATTCGCAATCCGCCGACGCAGTCGTAACAACAACTCATCCTCATCCTCACTCCTCGCTCATACTTTCTCCTCCTCCTCCTCCTCGTGGCCTGTTGGATTAGCAGTTACTTGGGCTCCGTTCGCTAACAAAAATCCTCACCCTCGATCCTCGATCAGTCTCTTCCCTACTCTTCCCGTCTCCTCCTCCTCCTCCTCCTCCTCCTCCTCCTCCTCCTCCTCCCCCCTCCTCCTCCTTCTCCTCGTGCTCGCGCGGGGCAGGCGCGCGGGGGGGGTCCTGGCTGGCTGCCGACGTCGACGTCGGGCTCCACGTTCGGCCCCCACCCCCCAGGCTGCGAGGAGGAGGAGGAGGCTGAGGAGGAGGAGGAGGAGGGGAGAAACAGAGGGCGGATGGCAAGGAGGACGGATGTTTCACACGCCGCTATCTCCAAGAAACTTCATCAGAGACTTCAAGAAACTGCTGCTGTCGCACTGTTCTGGCATCCCCGATCGTTGCCTGCCATCATCCCTGCATCCCTCGAGTGACTCTCCCACTGCTCCTCATCTCCTCATCGGCACTCGGCTGATCGGGGCCATGCCAGGCCCTACTGAATCAATGCTAAATCAACCATCCGCGACAAGCTGGGCAACCCGCAGCCCAGACGTTGCATACTATTGTATGTGATGTGCCGCGATGGGATCGCAGTCCAACCAACTGCGTGCAAGAGGCTAGAAGAAAAGAATCTATGCTGCGGCTCGCTTCGCAAACTTTTGCACGTGCTCTCCGTTCAGATCGTCGGAGCCCTCAGCCTTAAGAGTGCGCTTGTTGCGAGTGTTGCATGACGACGCAAGCCTCACGTGCTTCTCCTCTGGAAGCTCCGGCCTTGTCAACTCCAACATCTCGGTGGCACCATTCTTTTTCAGGAACTCGATGTTTGGAATGAGAACAGGAACAGACAACGTACACTTTGGAAGAGCAAACGGCTCGGAGCACTCAGGGACCTCCAGCTCAACGCGAGTCGTACTCAGGGTAGTGTTCGGAGCAGTGCCGTCCTCATACTCTCTGATCTTGATGACGCCCCACGCTGGCACGAACAGTCCGCCTGTCGGGTTATGCATCGCAGGCGTTGGCGAAGCCCAGATGACGTAGGTGGCCCCTCCAATCACCACCTCGCCGAGGCGCGCGATGGCCCTCTGCGTCGGCTGCACCCCGATCTTCATCAAGAAAGTATTCCCGAACATCGTGAAGGATAACTCCTTGCAGCTGTTTTGAGATTTGTCGAAGCCGAAGTCGCTGAACATCTTGGCAGTGATCGTAGTTGTTCCATCTGGCTTCACAACTTCCTTATGCTTGACCAGGTCCGCGCCAACATCCTTACTCAACTGGCCCATCATGAAAGACGTGATCCTGTTTGCGAGAGCCATCGCCACGAACTCGTTGGCGGAGGTGTCGACGGAGATTGGCCGATAACCCAAGGCCGTGTAGGAATCAGTCGGAGACGAGCGCTCGTTGTCTGCACTGACGATGCTCAGCGCCATGGGGCTCTCACCCTCGCTGATCTTCTGCAAGGCTGCCGCCAACGTTTGCTTCTGCTCTGAACTTATGTCAAGATCTTTCTTCCTCTCAGTCTCAACCCTCTTCTTGACGATGAAGGCGATGATCTCGTTCTTGCTGCTATCCTTGCTGTTGTAGCCCATCAAGCACGCCTGATTTGCAAGATCGGACTTCGTCTTGGAGTCGAGCACTGCAGACTGTGCGCGGGCCCATTCCTTGAACTCCAACTCAGTCCTAGGCCTCTTAGCAATCGAGTCGCTCGGATTCTTCATGAGCTCGATCAAAAGCTTGCTCCACATCGCAACCCAAGTGTCCTGGCAGGTGGCCTGGGCGTCGGCTGCACAGGCTTCGAGCGAGTAGTTGTCGATGAAACTTGCCGCGAGCTTCAGCTTCCCCCAGAGCTCGGTCATCTTATCGAAAGCGTCATCGTGTTGTTCGTCGGATGCGTGGGCGGCTGCAGCCATGAGCATTGGAGCATCTGCAATCAGATTCAGGGCGTACTTGCCACGCATGCCCAAGGCCCTCGTAGGGGTCCACATTCGAACCCTACCCATATCCCCCACGATTTCTGATGGGGAGGGTGGTGTTCACTTTGCTCCGAGCAAGGTGACCCTCCTGAACCCCACCCTCCCACTCAGAAATCGCGGAGGCTAGGGGCATGGTTCGCGCGTGGCCCCCTACCTCTCCAGGTCGGCGAAGCGCGGCCACACCTCCAGCGCGGTCCGCAACACCTTGATCTTCGATTTTGATAGCTCTGCGTAACCACTTCCTGACTCATCGACCGCAGTGTGAAGAGTACGCATGAAATGGACCATGTCCTGCGGCATCGTCCGAAATATAGCAGAGGCAATCATACCAACGAACGTTTTGATGCTCTCGTCCACGTCCATGCTAGGCCACTGCTTGATGGCATCGGGGTCTGTCACGAGAGCGTACAAGGTTGATCCCATGCTCTGAAGGGCTGGCTGGCTCATCTTGAGCACGCCCGTCGGGCAGAACATGTGGTTCGGGGTGTTCTTGCTGATGAAGTTTTTGTAGATGATCATGCACTCGTCCGTGACCATGGCAACCGCTTCCTCCAGCTTGCAGACGTTCAGGACGCCAGGGAACTCGGAAGGGTCAAGCTTCATGCGAGCGACGCTGCCCCCGGTCGCTGCCGACGAAATATGTTCCTGAGTATCTTCTCCCAGCACGGCGTCCATGTCGGTCTTGGGGGCGAATTGGCGCCTCTCTCGGATGAGCATCACGACGTGCTTCTTCAGTGACGACCATGAAGTCTTCACCAACGTCTTCTTCAGCCTCTCGATCTTCTTCTCATCGGCCTCGTACTTCAGAACTTGCGCCTGGGCGACGAGCGGAGGTGCTTCGACGGTGCCGCCTTGCAACGCCCAAGTGATGCAAACATCCTTCATCTGTGAAAGCACGCTGCGATTGATGTACTGGTCGCCGATGTCCTCTACCGCGTACTCAATGGTGCCGATGATCTCCTCGAACATGATCACATCCCTGCCGCCCTTGGTTGCCTGGAACTGATTGAAGACTTCGGTGGATTTGCCCTTCCCTTTCGCTCCCCTGCCCTTGCCCTTCTTGCGAGTCTTATCCTTCTTCCCCTCGTCCTTCTCGGTGGTGTCCGCGGCAGCCTTCGCTTTGAAAGCCCTGTTCAACTTGGCTTTCTCGGCCAAGACCTCGACCTTGACTTTCTCTCCGTCCCTCTTGCCGTGGGTGATTGGCATGAAGAGGGCGAGGATCTTTACCCAATCTTTCCGTTCTGTGCAGTGCCATTCGTGCCCATCATTCGTTGGGATGCAGAACTTGAAGATGTCGACTAAGTGATCCCACAGGTCGTAGGCAGCAACCTTCGTCATCAACTTATCCATGATGTACATCGTCGTGCCAGTGTCCAGCCTCGTATTGGAGTAGACGCAATGTTGATCACAATAGGCCCTCCATTCAGCATGTATCTCAGGGACCTTCAGGAACTTGTTATAGACGCGCCTGGTCATGTCGAAGAGGTTCCAGTTGCCCTCGAAGTAGCCGGGGAACTCCCTGTCCAGAAACTCCATGTACTCAGACTCGTACTTTTTGTTGTCGAACTTTGATTTGTGCTCCTCGTAGTCGTGGTCGTCAAACTCGCCCTTCCTGCTATCCTTCCATTTCTTCTGCATCGAGCCAACTTCGCCAACGCTCTCAGTGAATGCGACCTGGCCGCGGATGTGGTTGAGGCCGTTCCCGTCTTCCTTGAAGTGCGACAAGATGTCGTCCGGACTGCGGCAATCGAGGACGCACGCCTTCACGCCACCAGCCACTGACGCAATCACCTGAGGATTCTCAGGCTGTTCTGCATGTGCCTCGTAGATCGCTTCCACGAGGTGCGCTCCAGAAAGACACCAGTGTCCCTCGCTGCCCCTGGCCTTGGGGACGAACACCATCTCATTTCGTTGATTGGGCTTGCACCCAATTGTTAAGACCAACTTCTTGTACTTGAGCCTGTTATCGCACTGGTTCCGCACGTTGAGACGCTCGTGGCGCGTCAGCAGCTGCTGCCCATCTTTCCCAAAGAGCGGAAGCCACCTCTCTTCGTCCACGTAATCTGCCCTGACCAAGTCATCCAACACCCTGCCCTTGGCGTTGCCGTAGCGGGCCGAAGCCGATGGCGCCGTGTCCCACTTCCCGTACGGCCGAAGTGTCGGTGGCGAGTCTGATGATGCCACAATTGCCATTGCGGCGAGACCACAGCGTCGATAGCGGGAGGAAAGAAAGCTGGTTGGGAGAACGTTGGATATTCTGCAAACAAATTCGGCCAAATTGGCTCGAAAGGCTACGGACGCTAGATGGTGTTCCTGCACAGGGCATCTGATGGCCTCAGGGCTGGGGAATCTGGTGTAGGATGAGTAGGGGGAGGCGGAGGAACATGTGTGGCAGGACTCGCCCCACAAACCAGTCAAACCGAGCCCTCCTCCTCTTTCTCCTAGTCCTATTCTTCCTACTCCTCCTCCTCCTCCTCCTTCTCCTCTTCCTCATTGTCGCCAGGCTTTGGTTTTGGCTCGAGGGCTCGAGACACTGGGGCTCAACATTACTGGGGCGCAAGACGACTGCGTTTCAGGCGCTGCAACTGCAACAGTGCCGAGAACTCCTGCGCTGCTGGGAGCTCGGGGTTCCCAGTGACCCGACATCCCAACGCGGGCCCAAACCTTAACAGCATGAGCAATATCGAGCCTCCGATCGTCACGAGGTGCATCGCGTTTCCTGATTGGCTTGATTGGCTATGGTGCGAACGGAGCCTTGGTGAGGAGCGAGCTACACTGAAGGGCGATTGTGCTCCATGATTAGCTGCTTGCAGCTGTTCTGTCACAGGATGCCCGAGCGAGATCCAGCACTCCGCTGGGACCAGCCATCTGTTCAGAGGGAGCATCCACAGCAAAGCGCCATTTTTGGTGAGCGTCTGAAGGTATTGCCCACGTGGCCCGCACGACATGACGGTGCGTTGATCTGGATTCTGACCTAGATTAATGATTTTGTCTACACAAGCTCCGTACTTCTGCCTGCACTTGATCAAGTTGTCGAGCTCAAATTTGTTGAGCGCATTCTCCCAAGACTTCTGAGGCTGGTGAGGCTGGCTATTGCTCAGACTCATGCTGCGATTCGAGGCCCATTCCAGGTCCTCTTCCAGACAGCGAAGTGGAGCAACTGCAAGGTCATGCCATGTGAGTTCACATACCCTAGTGAACAAGAAATCGTGGTATTGCTGTAACCTCAAATGCTGCATCAGAGCGGCCCTGTCATTGACGCCGATCTCAGGCAGAATCCCATCAACCCATGTCTTGAGAAACAAAAATAGGATTTGCCTGTTGCGCATCGCCGGGAACCCGAGCTTGTCAGGCCGAGATACAATGCGAACGATAATATACATGTCTGACAAGAAAGTGTCAATCTCCGCCGCCCCAAACTCTGTTACGTTCTCGTGTGTTATAACCTTGAACTTCAGGCATCGCACAATGGAGACCCAGACCAAGAACGGTATGGACGCAGAGCCATGTGAATAGTTGTGCGCACCCATGTTGCTCCAGTCTACGCATGGGCTCGAACAGTGGTGGTAGTCGGTATGCTTCACGGAGTACCATCCACCGTGCTTTGCGCACCAAGCACGGAGACGCGGCTGCATGTAGGGCAACAGTGATCTCAATTCGTGCATTGAGGCAACAGTGCCACCATCCAGCCCGACCAGCCTTCGGTAGCGAGGCTCAGTGAACTCAAGGATGTCTCTGAACACGTTCATTGGTGGATTTGGGTGATGAGTCCATTCATCCACTGACGGGCCGTAGTTTTCGACTGCGTAGCAATGTTCAAACGTTGTTGGCACGCCAGTCACACCCCACGCGTGTAAGAGATGACCGACTGTGTGATTGATGATGCTCATGGCAGTGGCATCGGTTCCAACTCCAGAAAACGATGAGCTGCAAGTGATCACGCGATCTGTGAGCGTGCTCAATACAGCGGCCTTGCTGTTCAGAGAAGCCGCTCTCTCAAGTGCATGATCGCACCACCTTGCAGCATCATCCAGTGACCGAACTACGATATTAGGAACCTCAGCAGCACATAAGGTCAACATGCGGCTGCTACCTAGCTGCTGAAACCAGCGAGCTTCGAGCCAACACGACCACACATACCGACTGGCACGCATTACAAATCACAGAAAAGGCTCTCCATATCAATGAAATAGCAGGGGCAGAACTTGGACAGTGAAACTCTGGAAATGAGCTCGGAATCATCTCAGCCAGGACCCCACTTTCGATCGGATCGATACTGGAGGTGCGACTAGTGACATACCCCCCCATGTCACTAGTGCACCCCTGGTGCACTAGTGACATACCTCCCCATGTCACTAGTGTAGGGGTGGTCCACTAGTGACTTAGGGGGGTATGTCACTAGTCACCCCTCCAGTGTCCATCGGATCGATAGTGGCGCTCCCCCTGACGACGTGATCAGCCTGAAATCAGAGATTACACTCCCCGTCACAGGCTCCGATCCGCAGCCATGTTCGGCTCAAGCAGGCGGCTCAAATCGATTGATTTCAGACTCCGTTTTATGTTATGGTACACGTGTTGTTGATCATGTGTCTCGCCCTCTTCTCTCATTTTCCCTCTTCATCCCTCTATCCTCTCTCATCCTCCTCCTCGCTCAACCTCACCTTTCATCCTCCTCAATCTTCTGTGACAATGTTAAAACAATGATAGGCTCAAGATAAGGGTCTGGCTCGGACGAGTGTGGGCTCATGTTCTGTACGCCCCGCAATGCAATGCAATGCGCTTGTGCACCTAGCATTCATGTTTCTCTGCCCATGTTAACCAGGCAGTGGTTAAGAGACTCCCAAGGTTGCGCCACCATGGACACGTTACAGACACCCAGACACCCAGTTCGAAGCGTGTCGTTTGATTCCAGCGCAATGCGATATGCTATGGTATGCTATGATATGCAATGACTTGCCCGCCTGTTTTGTGAATGCACGCCTTGCAGAATGAACAGAAGGCGAAGTCTGCCAATCCAAATTCTCGCATGATCACTGACCCTGATTCCACGTTATCGAGGCTCGCCTTCCAGCGCTCCTTCTCACGAGGGTCGTCCGAGAAAACCTTGTCCCAAACGTGATCAATATCTATGTCCATTGCTGGTTTAGCTGTGCACTCAGGGTGGAACCGCATTCTGCACAGAGGGCACGTGGGAATGTCGCAGTCCTCGCCGCAAATGGCGCATGTACCCACATCTTCTGTGTATCCAATCGCATCCCGCTTGGTTGAATGGAATTCGTACACCGTCCTCAAATGGCTTGGAAGTTCTGGCCACGAATCTTTCGTCCTCACAATCCGACATAACGTATTTGGCACCAGGAATTTCAAATCTTCGGATTTCAATTCTGAAGAAAGGTCCTTCTTATCAGCGACCGTTCTGAACGCAAGTCGCCCACTCTTGTCAATGCCAGACATGCGCGCAACAAAACGCATGGGGTCTTGACTGTATTCGTCCACCCTCATCCATTCGAGAATGGGCTCTACCTGGCCTTCACATACATCTATCGTGCGCTCCACTAGGCAAGCGTAGGACGAAACTGGCATCGAACATCTGGGGTCGGAGAGCTCCAAGAATGCAATCAGAGTATGGGCAACCGTCGGTGCCCATAAGCCCACCAGGAGTTCATCGACACCAGCGAACACCCCAGGCGCGCCAGCGATACCTCCATCATGCTCGGGCGGCGCTGGTGGGTCTCCAAGGTCCGCATCTTCTGCCTCCAATCGATCAAGTACTTCAACGAACTTCTCCTCCTCGTACATGCTGGGGTCTGCCGTGGCGTCCAAAGCGTCGACTGCCTTTTTTAAGTCAGCCAATCGTTCAGTGTATCGTTTAAGTCTGACTTGGTACGTGACGTCTGGCTCGTCCGCGCCATCTCCATCAGGGCCATCTCTAGCGTCGTCAGCGTCGTCCCCCTCGTGGTCCAAGACATCTTCATCATGGAGAATAGCTTCTTCCTCAAGATCAAGTTCGTCTGCTTCGCTAACTTCCTCGCACGCTGCAGGGGCCGACTTCGACTTCACGTCGCTGAAGAAAAACAGGTGGCCCTCGGAAACGATGTTGCACCTCCTCGTGTTACTGTATGCCCAGTCCAGCTGCAGCACCTCGACTTTGAAGTCAAGTCCTGCGGCAACGGTGGGGTGCGGGCGAGCGGCGGAGGCGTCAGGGGAAGCAGAAGCAGGAAGAGGAGGAAGCGAGAATAAGACGACAAGACATAAGACATATCCTGCATCAGCTCCCTTCGCATCGACGCGTCTCTGCCGATAGGCAGCCATGCAGTCCAGTAGCGATGAAAATTGTAACGGGGTTATCACCGCCAGCTCGCCGTCACCGTTCGATTGCATAGTCGCCAACCACATGCTACTGCGATACTTATGGCACAGGATGTAACAACCCTCCACCGTTGCTGTGCCACGCGGGATAAATGACGATATTCTCAAAGCACACATGCTCGTCGGAATCCAATCTGCAGGCCATGTGGACCTGAGCTTTGTCACAAGTCGAGTAGCAGGTCGCCTCGGTGCACAGCTTGGCACAATAGGGTGCCATGGAGGCCGCGCCATTGGCGGGGCTGCTGGCTCAGATGGGCCTGGGTCAACGACGACATCGAATCTTCCAGTGCCATCTGGTTTGAGCCTCTCCTTCTCCCTTGCATCGCATGTTGCCTTATGGTGTTCGATGCATCGATTCAGGAATTCGTCTTCGTACTCATCAGAGGTTTCGCCATACCACTTCAACCACTTACGGACCATTGTGCGAGTAGATAAAAGTTCCCACCCAGTAAACGGTGCAATTTTCATTATGTGTTTTATCGTGCTGTTGATCCCTTCGATCTCTTGTGTTTCCAACGACCATAGGTTAAATATGCTATGCAGTAGGCCCCACACATGTTCATCAAGAAGCCCATCGTTACATGATTGTTTGATCTCGTTGCGGAACAAGTGTAATATCTTCAGGGTTGTGCAATCGATCGTGGCGAGATCCTCCATGGTCCCCAAACCCAGCATACGAGTTGCCACATCTTGCCTCAACTTACAATGCTTGCCCGGAGGTGAGAACACAAAGTGCGCGAGCAAAAGAGGCCAGGCATCAGTTTGCGAGTGAAGCCGCCTAAAATAATCACACGCCATGCCCAAAGAGTGGAGCACTGCGTGGC